AAAAACTCCAAAAACTGGTAGTCATGATATTATTTCTATTCATCCAGGATCATACATCCACCTTGGTGTTAAATTCATGCTATTAAAATTTTTAACTCCACATATTGAGCATTTTGAAAACAATTGTTTTGTTCGACTAAGTTTTAACATGGATGATGTACCACTTTCGTCTAGTTCCAAATCAAGTTTCTGGCCTATACTATTGCATTTTGTAAATGTACCTTATTTATTAAAAACTGTAATTCCAGTAGGTCTATATTGTAGTAAGCGAGTTACTACGTAACGTTTAAAGTCCCGATAGGTAACATATTTAGCATAACATACTGTAGATATGTCAAACAAAAACTAGTTAACCTTTTCTATTGTACTTAATCAAATAAACCATGGGGAGTATAATGCCCAAAATGAACGCATAAACAAAACTACGATTAATAAATTACTGGCTCAAGGGGAAACGATGTCCAAAATAATACCACAACAGATTAGCACAATTTTGCAATCATGTGGAATAGGCGGATGTGATAAATGCAATAGCGTTATATGACAGATATTCGATGTAAAAAAGTAGTATGATTTATTATAATGAAATTGACAGTTAATAAATTAACTATCAGTACATTATGGTAATACGCAGAATAGATTAGGAATTTGCAAGTGCGTAGCTAGGTCGATGGCCACATGGACCACATCCGTGAGAACCGAGATACAGTATCACTAGGCAAGGGGAGCGGGTACCGGACTATAAGAGGGACCCCGAAATGGCCTGTATTCAGACGTGCTCATTCATCTCTACTCCAAGCACCTTCACGAGACACTGTGTAATAATTGTCATTTGGACTTAACACGATTTATTGGAAAACATTAAAATGAAACCACATTGTAATTACATATGTTTACAACTTATTTAAATCACTACCCAATCATCATCAGCGAAGTGGTCTAGCTACCTGCAACGTTAATATACAATTAGTCCTGTACTACCTGGACTACCAGTATATTACACTGGCACAGTCGAAAAAGAAACTTCAAAGGAGCTAAAGGCGAATTGAGCAGTCAAGGCGGCGGAATCCTACTTCCAAAGGCGAGTAAAGCAGTTAAGGCGGCGGAATCCTACTTCCAAAGGCGAGTAAAGCAGTTAAGGCGGCAGAATTCAACTAGAAATTACTTTATCAATGCAGGTTATCAATGCATGTGGATCTAATGTCAAACATGCATTTAACCTGGCTGCGACTCGCACACTAGATGGTAAATTATTTAGAATTATTTATGTACCTTCTCAAAAATTTATCAGCAGATATTTGTATATATTTGTATTGTTTTAGAAACATTACACTAGAAATAACTTCATCAATGCAGGTGTAACAGAAACACAATAAAAAGAATCATCATTGTACTAAGTACTAAGGCATAGAGTAAGTTTGACAACCTCTACGTGCTTCTCTCTTGATGCGGATTTTGTAATGTATTTGTATCAAACGTCAAACATGCATTTCAACTGGCTGCAACTCGCACACTATGTGGTAAATTATTTAGAATTATTTATGTACTCTAAAAATATATCAGCAGATATTTGTATGCATTTGTATTATTTCAGAAACATTATACTAGAAAAGACTTTATCAATGAAGATGTAACAGAAACACAACAAAAAGAATCATCATTGTATCAATACTGATTACTAATTTGTAACTAAACCATGCTCTATTAATCATAAGAGTTCCTACAGCTAACACCATTGATTATAAATACTATAGATTGCTCACTGGCCGGGTAAACACGTTGCGCGAAAAATGGATGTTGCCGTTATGAAGCGCTCTCGTCGAAGATTAGTTAGTGGATGTCGACGTTGTAATCGCTAGTGTCGACTGTCGAGTCTGTCGCGGTCGTACATCGGCCGTCGAGACTTGAGGTTTGCGAACATGCCGATTGCCGGGACATTGGGGTTTAGGAGTTTAGGACTGACCGGTGAATACCAATTAATATATTGTATCGTCGCATTATTGAATCATTCATCTTATTTTTAAGATGTTTTACATACTAGGTGTAAGGTTAATTTTAATGATAAATAAAATCATCGTACCAGAAAATAAATGGTATACGAAATTGTTACTACTATACATACTAGTATATTTTATACTACTTACAGTTTTCTATACGGTTTAACTGTTTAACTATTATAAGGTCCTATTACCGAACGCATTTCGATATTAACCGCACGTCAACAAACTAGTACCCTATTTTGTTTTTGAATTGTTTTAAACAATTCACATTTCATTAAACGTAAAAATGTAAAACTCTAAAATCGTACCTTCAGTGGGACTTTTTTTCGAGTTTAAAGACTCATTGTTAATGTCAATTTTAGATCAAATAACGCAAATAGTAAAAACCAACGTTGTTTTTATCTTACCCAGTTAACAAATTGTATGTATTTAAATTTCTTAAATTGGAAATTTTTATTTTAAAAAATTTAATTATAATGTACACTTTTTCATTATGGATGCCATAATTTGTATAATTTATTAAAAATTATTTCATTTTTCTTCCACATTATTTCAAGAATAGTCATTATAATATTATAGTTATTTATAAGTATTTATACTTTATAGTGTTTATAATTAATGACAGTACGGTAGTATTAATTTGTATTTTTATATTCCCATTTCTTCAGTTGTATTATTAGTTATTAGTTATGACTTATTATTTGTTTATTAAAGCAAAACAGTAATATAAATACTGGAGTAGTAACTAGTTGTCAATGTTGTTAAAATTGTTAAAATAAAATTTATTGAAATTGTTGGTACATTTTTATTTATGTTTTACTATTAAATTCATCATGTCTGGTCAAAAGTGTAATTATTTTAACTGTGGTAAATCAAAAAGAAATAACCCCGAATTAAGTTTTCATACGTTTCCAAGTGATGAACACTCAATGAAAACTTGGATTATTCATTCGGGTAAGTTATTCATTTATTATATTTATATTCTACATATTAAGCAATTTGCATTTACATTAACATTTGTTATTTAAAAATATCAACTATAAATTTTAACTTTTAAGTAGGTTAGGTTAGTACCTAAAACTAAATTTTAAAACATAATTTTTAATTTAGGAAATATGGCTTTAGACAATTTAAGCCCGAAAATACTACGCAAGAAGTATATATGTAGTGATCACTTTGATCAAAATATGTTTATGAATGTTAATCAAAAAATACGAAAACTAATTCCGAATGCTACACCAATAAAATTTGCTATAAATAACTCCGGAAATTCAAATAAATGTAAGCTTAATTAATAATACTTTTAATTGTGTACTACCTTAAGAGGACGTCGCACCCACATATTATTATGTTGTCTACTTGTCTCCGTCTTACACGTGTACAACATAGCAAATTTTACTCTCAGCAGATCACGTTTAGCTAAATTAATTTAAAAATTAGAGTGAATTTACCTCTTCTAAAATTTAAAGATAAGATTATTTTCTAGGGCATCTCATCGGATTTTTGTTTTATTTTAATTATAAACCGAGTTATAAGTATTTAAAGGTGTACAAACAATTTACAGTTTTAAAATAATCATAACTAGCTTTAAAATTAAAATATAACAAAAATCCGATGAGATGCCCTAGAAAATTATCTTACCTTTCAATTTTATAAGAGGTAAATTTACTCTAATTTTTAAATTAACGGAGCTAAACGTGAGCTGCTGAGAGTAAAATTTGCTATGTTGTACGAGTGTAAGACGAAGACGAGTAGACAACATAATATACGGGTGCGACGTCCTCTTAATGGTTTGTAACTTAAAATAATTGAAAACATGTTTTAAAAAGGTTCTCCAAAATGTGAAAATTCTGAAAACACAAACTTTGAAACACCGGTTAAACGAATGAAGCCGACCGAAATCAAAGGACGCGTACTGGATTTCGATTCATCAGGTACCTATATATTATCCATTTATGCTTCAAAATAATTAACAAATGTTCTTGATTGATGAATTAATTTGCCAAAATTTTAACTTTAAATGCTTATAAAAAAATATCGTATACCTATAGAATATATTCGAATCTTAAATATTTTATAACTGATTTTATAAAAATTTTAAATAACTGTTTATATTACCATTTTTTCTGTACACCAAGTTACATTTTTTTACTATTTTAGATCCTGAACAGAGTGATGAATGTATTGACTTTACAATGATGTGTGTTTTTTATTTTTTTGTTTAATTATATATTTTTTTTATTTTTGTATCTGTCATCACGTTTTTGAGTAGTAAAAGTTCTTCAATCTTAAAAATATAGGTAGCAAAGTGAATTTATATTGTACTTCAAGGGGTCAAAATTGAAAATTTTTCAGTAGTTTACAAATGCGCCGCGAAAAACCAAAAAAATAAAAATCAGGAACTCACTCTGTTGTACAGTAGGGGTGGAGTGGACCTCGGTCATAGAGTCACTAAAATGGATATGTTAAATTTGAAAGCAATGATAGGTATCATTGTGTACGAAAAACGATTCTCAATGGACACGATTGTCAGTCTAGGATATTTTGTTTATTTATTTATTTTATATCTTAAACCGTTTGATAGAAAAGCGTTCGTGAATTTTTATATTTATATTTAACTTTTTACGCTTATAAAAAAAAGTGGTGACTACGATTATTGATTTTTTTTTTTTAAAGCAATAAGAACCACTTAAATACTTTGTATTTTACTTTGTAAAATTTCAACTAAGTATAAATAGCTCAAAAAAGGCAAAATCTTTCAAAAATTTTACCATGTATAGATCATGCCAATATAAACATTTAATGAAAATTTAAAGTTTCTACAGTTTTTAGTTTTCAAGTAACAGCCAAATTATAAATTCAATTATGTCAAAAACTGGTTTTGAGTACAAATTACCGTTTTCTCCATTTTTTTTTTTTTTTGTTTTTCACGGTGCGTTTGAACATTTTCACTTTTTGTGAAACACACAATGTGTTGTTTTACTCGACGAAATATCAATAATGAAATCTATTGAGTATAATAAATCAAAAGATGAAATCGAAGGCTATGAAGATCTTGGTACATTAGGTAGAACAGACAAAATCAGATCGCACGCTTTAGTTATAATGGTACGGGGATTATATAACAACTGGAAATTTCCACTTAGTTATTATTTAACTGGCAGTGGAATAAAAGGAGATAACTTGGCCATAATTGTTAAAGAATCAGTTCAAAAACTATTTGATCTCGGTTTAACACCAGTAGCAATAGTGTGTGACCAAGGAACACAGAATAGGCGCATGTTTTCACTTCTAGGAGGAACAATAAAAAAACCATTTACTGAAATTTGTGACCGAAAATTGTTTCTAGTATATGACATGCCACATTTAATTAAAAGTCTAAGGAACAATTTGTTAACACATTGACGGACACTACTGCTATAGCAGTAATTTATAATTTTGATGTTAGGTGGCATGACTGCTATAGCAGTAATGTGAAACATTTCATATTATGGCATTACTGTTATAGCTGTACTTATTCTAATGGTATCAAATGAAAGTAGACATCAGATTGCCGCATCGTGTTAGGTTAGATAATTGGGCACTGACATATTTTACAAGGAAAAAATACCAATATAATATACAATTTTCTATTTTTAGAATTCGGGTATATTATTGTTTATGCTGTTAATTCTATTGACTCACGTTATCTTTATTAACTGATTATTATGAGATTGTTCGAACCAGACGTTATCTTTATTAACTGATTATTATGAGATTGTTCGAACCAGACGAACGACAGTCGACGAACTAGTACACACTACACAGCAGTATTATACGCACTGTGCAATTGCTTAGTACCTAATGGCTAATACGTCTTGTAAAACACATAAACAATTGTAATTTTGTCATATATTGTATATTTTCATTCTTTTAAATATGAACCGAAGACAGATTAGTGAAATTCAAAATTATTTAAATGAGAGTGATAGTGGTTCTAGTTTGTTTTCTTGTGGGGACGATTCGGATAACGATCCGAGTTATGAACAACCAAGGCCACATTCTCAATCTTTGCCACCTGTACGTTGTTCGTTTGATTCTGGTGACGACTGTGGACCTGAACTTACTGGATCAAATAATTATCAAAATTCAGATGACAACTTGTCGGTGGATGACAGTTCAAGTGAGTCTAGTGATGATAATTCTGATACTGATAGTTGGGTTGAAGATTACGCCGATATTCCAGACTATGCATTTGATGATAGTCACAGTGGTATAAAATTAAATATTTCTGAAAGTTCTCGTGAATTTCCAATTGAAATTTTTACTCAATTTTGGACAGATGACATTTTTGATATGGTAATTGAATCAACTAATAAATATGGGGAAAATTTGAGTAAAGCTAATCGACCTCATAAAAAAAATGCACGAGCTTCGACATTCAAACCAGTAGATTTAGATGAAATCAAACGCTTTCTTGGTATTTGTTTACTTGGTGGAGCAGTAAAGTTTTCTGTTATTCGAGACATGTTTTCACAAAATCCATTATATTACCATCCGGTTTTTAATCATATTATGTCTGGCAGAAGGTTTGATCAAATACTCAATTGCTTTAGTGTACAGTATACTGACCGTTATAATAATGAAGTGATTGGACCTATGATGAAAGTCCAACCATTATTTGACACATTAATTCAAAATTTTCAGACAGCTTTTATTCCTACCGAACATTTATCAATAGATGAATCATTATTGTTACACCGTGGTCGAATTATATTTAGACAATATATAAAAAACAAGAAGGCTAGGTATGGCATTAAATTTTACGAACTCACTTCATATGATGGGTATGTGCTCAATATAGAAATGTACCAAGGAAAGCAAGAACAATCAGCTGTACCATCTAGGACATCAAAAATAGATAGTATTGTTTTAAGGCTAATGAATAATTACCTAAATAAAGGGTTCTCTCTATACATGGACAACTATTATAACAGTGTGACACTTTCAAATACTTTACTTGAACTAAAAACGCACACAACTGGGACTTTAAGAAAAAATCGTAAAGGAAACCCAAAAGTTGTAGTTGATAATAAACTAAAAAAAGGACAACATGTATGGAGACGTAAAAATAATGTTTACGTAAGTAAATGGAAGGATAAGCGTGATGTTTTGTGTATAACAACTAGAGTACATCCAAAATTAATACAGTCAGAAAATCGGTACGGCCAACAAAAGAACAAACCGTCGGAGATCGTCGAGTACAACAACTATATGAATGGTGTTGATCGGTCAGACCAGATGGTCAGTTATTATAGCAGTCCAAGAAAGACATGTAAATGGTATAAAAAGGTAATTTTTCATTTACTCGATGTTACAGTTTGGAACTCGTTTTTTATCTATAAAAAACATTTTGATACTCCAAATATGAAATTTAAAGCTTTTCGTGATTTACTCATTAAAAATTTGTTCAATATTCCGAACAATGTGACTGCAAATGAACTGTTTGTACTAAAAAAAAAGCCATCAATACCTCCAGCAACCAATCACTATCAAGAAAGAATACCAATACCAGAAAATTATAAGAGAACTATTTATTACAAAAATTGCTTACAGTGCTACAAGACCAATAAAATCAGAAAACAAACGTCTTTCCAGTGCAAGCAATGTGCAAAACCACTATGTGCTGGTTTTTGTTTTGAAGCATATCACAAAAATTTGTAATTAAATGATTGAATGTTATAATTGTATTCAAAAGATTTTTTTTTTCAATGAAGCTTATATTTATGTTAACATGTTTATATACTATTGATGTACTATTTGTTTAAAATGTTTTTAAATTCATACAATTACAATTAATATTGTTTATATTTAAATTCTCATAATAATAATACAGATTTATTGGTTGTATATTATGAAATAATTTATGATTTTGATGTATTATAATCAAAAAAAATGATTACAGCTATAGCAGTAATGTCAACTTGCATCGAATTTTCAATGTACGTACAACACAACTGCTATAGCAGTAATAAAGTTATTACTGCTATAGCAGTAATAAAAAAGTGCGTTTTAAAAGCAGGTTATAGGAATTTAGATAAATGAAAACTGTCCGTCAATGTGTTAAATGGGGATATACAAATTGGTAATAAAATTATATCATTTGATGATGTAAAAAAAACATATGAAATAGATAGCAACAGTTCCACTGCTCGAGCAATGTGCAAAATTACGCCAGCTCATTTAGCTCCTAATGCATTCCAAAAAATGAGTTGTAAATTAGCAGTTCAGGTACTCAGTAGATCTGTCGCCGCTGCAATCAAAACATGTGTAGGTACAAAAGAGTTAAATTCAAGTACAGCACTTAATACAGCTAGTTTTATTGAAGATGTAAATGACATGTTCGATTCTGCGAACAGTAAGAATTTATATGACCCTAACCCAAATAGACGACCTTTAAATGACAACAACCCTCAAGTTTTTGAAAATTTAAAAAAAATTCGTACAACTTTTCAAAATGCTGTAAAAATTAATAAAAAAAAATAAAAAAAATAGTATTCCACCATGTTTTGAAGGGTTTGTATGGACTATTACTGCACTGTTAGAAATTTATAAATCTGAAAAACCAAAAATGTTTCTAAATACTGGAAAAAAAATTGTTTTTATTATGACAAACCGATTGACACAAGATCCACTAGAAAATTTTTTCTCTATAATGCGCCAAAAAAACGGTTATAATAAAAATCCAACTGCTCGAACATTTCGATGTTGTTTTGGGACTATTTGTACGTATAGTTTAATGAAATGTTCTGAAAAATGCAATTGTGAAGACGACGATGCCGAATTTTTTAATGTTAATGTTTTGAAAGACATTCAAATAGAAACAAATTCAAATGAACATGACACAACCAAAATAAATGACGAAATTGTTAATATTAATGCAGAAATTGAATTACGTTGTCCCTCTATAAGTCCTACATCAGAAACAAGTCCTATTCTGAATTTAAACCAATCACTAGAAAATTGTTCAATTTTGTATTTTGCTGGTTAGGTATATTGCTAAGCGATGTATGGAAATGTTCACGTGTGTCAAATGTGAAGAATCATTAATTCTAACATCACAATACCTTCAAGATAAAAATCATTTACTTCTATTACATAAAACATACGGCGATAGTAAAATTATTGAAGGGCTTAAAAATCCATCAAAACTAATGATATGTATCACAAAAACCTGTTTGGATATTTTTAACAAACATTTTAATGAAATTAAACATGAAAAAAAAATTGTATCTCAATTAATGGACAAAACCAAAACTCATTTTAAAAACAACATACTTACTACAGCTCAATCATGCTACGAACACTACATTTATATGATGGAATTACTGTACACAGTTAAGATATTTAAAGAATGCAAATGGACAAATTCTGATTTACACAACAAAGCAGTTCAACATGTGGCAAAATTGCGGATTTTACAACACAATTAAATTCTCATAAACTATAATTTATAACTAATGTAATTTAAAGTATGCACTAAGTTTTACATTGTAATTTATTATAATTTGTATATAGAACAAGAGTGATAATAAATGCATTGATAGGATACATTAAAATATTAAATATTCAGTTTCGATTTGGCAAGTACCTATTGTGCAATAATTCATACCTACCAAGTACCAACTTCCTATTATTTCAAATTTTAAAAGTTAAATTACACGTATTTATAATATGTATATACATTACAATCATTCCATACATTTTCGTGTTTTCACTGTGTGAAATATTGTTTAATTGCTTTTAATAAAAAATAGGTATATACAATAAAATATGAATTGGTCAAAACCATATTATAATATAGTTAATAAGCCCATAATCCGTATCGACTAACCTATCGTGTCCGTTTTTCCCAGTGCCACACTCAACCAAAACATTTTAAATAAAAATAGTAATAAATATAATATACCTACGTCGGATATTATGACGGGCGACGATAAAAACCAGTTATACCCGCACCGCGCTCCACCATAGTTGCGGCGGCTGTTATAAAATACAAATTTATTAGTATTATTGGTTCTTATCGCCATCTACCGAGGGTTTTATTGTACGCCACCGAAAAACCGGCCAGTGAGCAATCTATAGTATTTATAATCAATGCTAACACTTAATTATTATTCATTATTAATTTGTAACTGATGTAGCACATGCATATATATATATACATTTAAATTGATTAATAGTAAGTGTCATACACAAATTATTATAATTTCAAAAGCATATATCTACTATGACCAAGGTTTGTAAGAGATTTTCTATCTTGTTGTATGTATAACCTCAAAAAAACTACTTCGGAGAAGTAAAAAAGGCTTTCTGTGCGTAAGTTGAAGAGATTGGGAGAAAAGATAGAACTTTGGTGTTAATAAAGATGTGAAATCAATCTCAAAGTTCTGTGCCAAAAAGGCCCACGGTTGAAAAAATAGAATTTGGGGTTTAATAAAGAAGTGAAATCAATACCCAAATTATGTGCCTCAACTTGAAAAAATATCTTATTCAAAAAAATTTCAAGATGTTCAACTGTACAAACATTAAAAAAAAATATTAGCACAGAACGGCGTGAATTACAGTTTCTCAACAAAAATTCGAATCAGACACATTAACTCGTAAACAAGTCGACAATTCCGATTTATGGCTAATTTTATTAATTCATCATTATTGTACGCCGTTCTGTGCTAATATTTTTTTTTAATGTTTGTACAGTTGAACATCTTGAAATTTTTTTGAATAAGATATTTTTTCAAGTTGAGGCACATAATTTGGGTATTTCACATCTTTATTAACACCAAAGTTCTATCTTTTCTCCCAATCTCTTCAACTTACGCACAGAAAGCCTTTTTTACTTCTCCGAAGTAGTTTTTTTGAGGATTTCAATTATTTTTCCGAAGCACGTTTTACTGTGATATACTGAGGATTATATATATTATATTTATGGATTACATTTTTTCTAATCATTATTTTTATTTGTGAATAATAATTCTATAAAAATATAAATAAAATATAAATGTTATATTATATAATTATTAATTATAAATTTATATTAACAATACAATTATTTAATAATAATTATTATTATTATAGTATTAAAATAGTAATAATAGGTACATATTTACGTAGCTGTTATTTGGTAACAATAAATCGCGTAAAATAACGTATGTAATAATGTAAATGCACGAGACCTCGGTATCGCAACAACGCGAGTACGTAAAAAACATTTTATAATATAATAAAAATAAATAATAATTAATAATAATTCTGCAAACGTATAACCAGTGTTGCCAGAAATGTATTATGTGAAAACCGTAAAAAGTATTCAAAATTACCGTATGTTACCGTACAATAGGAGAACTTCAAATTTATCGTACATTACCGTACATTTCTATAAATTACGGTATTTGCGGTACAATTATTACAATATTGTTATCAGCACGTTATCAGCCGTTGTTATCAGTTATCAATTATCAGCATAGACATATCTAAATTCAAAATAATATGTTAATTTGTTATTAATGAAATATCAAATAACTTTTTAGTTTTTTTGTTAGTTTAAAGTTATAAATTAAATTGTTAAGTATTAATTGTATTTTAGTAAAGTATGTAACATCAAATAAGTATAACAATACAGTCAATAGTTAAAAATCACTGCACCAGCCAGTAGGTAACATAAATACTCACTAAATAGTAGTAAGTATAGTATTATAACAAGATATTCAACATCAAAAAAATTATTAAAATATAGGTCGTAAATTAATGATCGCTGTAGCAACTTAAATAATAATAGTATAAAAACATCAAAATACATTAAAATCAAATCTTCACTTATTTCAGTTTCGTCATTAGTCTTCATAATAAGTAGGTAATATAATTAATCATCTAAAATAAAATCGTCACTCTTTTCTATCTCGTCATTAATCTTTGTGGGATACAAATTTATAGATGTCATAGAATCAACCATTTTTTTGCATGGTTGGAAATTGTAGCATGAACCATTTTTTATAGCTTCACTTGTCATTATAGTTGCTGAAACAGTTTTAGTTATTAGTTTATTTCTTGACTTGGTTTTTATTCTATTAACTTAACTGAATATTCGCTCGCAGCATGCATTCGAATGCGGCAATGACATAACTGATAATGCAAATGTTGCTAACTCTTGGAATTGTTGAGATTCTAAATTTTTTATTTTTATCCAAAATTGATCTGGTTCTTTTTCATTGGTAATATCATCGGAAAAATTTACTAAACACATTAAACGCCATTGATCATCAATTACTTGTAGTAAATCAGTTTTTACTATCCTGGGGAGTTTTCGAGTAAGACACAGTATACTATTTGTTGTGTTGTATTTGGATCTCTTTTTATCAGAAAGAGCAACAGACGGTGTGAGAATATTTAATAAAGGTAGAATGGGATCAGAAAAATCGTACAGTTTTTTTATTTGTACACAACTCACTTTTAAAAACTCAACAAAGTTCATGTAGAAGTTTTTCAACAAATCTTGCCTTCTTTTTACAGAGTCAAGTAAAATGTGGTTCATAATTTTGACTCCTAAATAGATATCAGAATGTTTTAAAAATTTATCGTTACGCATTGGGTCCTGATAGGGGAGTTTTTAAAACATAATCTCTTTTCATATAGACCATTAATAAATCTTTATAAGATATTTCCATTTTTTCATGTAATGTATTTAAAACTATTTGATCTGTTTGAAAATATTGGTTGAGCATAGTGAATTTGGGTAAAATCCACTCAAGAAAATAAAAAAATCCTTTCGTAAATGGATCGTTTAGCTGGTTAAAAATAGATTCTGCCGATAATAATTTTTCTGATAGCCACTTTTCACTGAAAAATAATTGAAGGGCATCCCACTGTTCCAATAATCGCTCAACAACACTAAACAAGGAAAGCCACCTTGTTTGGGAAGGATGTAATATTCTGTGCACATCTAAATTCAAAAATACTTGAAACTGGACGAATTGCCTTTGTCGTTTGCTACTATGAGAAAAGAAATTAAAAACGTTTCGAGCAAAATCTTCTAACCTCCTTGGTAACGATTTACAAGCTTCACTACAAACTAAATGTAGTGAATGGCATATACATTTCATTATAAATACACCAGGAAACATTTCTTTCATTCTGCTAGACACCGAATTATTTTTACCCATCATCGTCGAACAACCATCGGACCCAAATCCTATTATATTTTCAACATTGACATTATGCTTTTTGAACGCATCAATAACATTTATGAAAATGTTTTCAGCGGTAGCGCCAGCATTAACTTCCTCGGGGTTTTCCAAATTATACACGGGTAACAAATCCCAAAACTGTGTTTTAATCTTATTATCACCACTATAGCGTACAACAATACACATTGTTGATATACATGCAATATCAGTGGATTCGTCAATCATGACAGAAAATTTAGTTTTATTTAGTATACTCGATAGCGATTCTTTTTCAACAGGAGAAATTATATTTTTTATGATGTTTGTTGCTTTTGTTCGTTTTAACCTCATTTTTTGGCAAATTTTAGAATCGGGAAATATACTTTTTAATAATGGTTCAAGATGATCCATAGCTAAAAACGCTATGTTGTGTTCCGCTAAGAAACCTGATAATTTAATTTCTGCAATCTTAATTTGTTCATCTGTTGGGTCACTTTTATTATTTACAAACTTGAGAGCTAAGAGGTGTGTTTCTTACTGCATTTTGGTGGATGATACTTTTTGCGTGGTTTTTAATAGACGTCAGTTCAGAAATAAAACTCACATTACATTTTGTACATTTATAACTAGCTAGCTGTTGTTGTGGGTGAGGTTCGCGGTACGGTAGCGGTCTGTGCGTGGCGGTTGCTACGGCGCGGCGTTGGAAGGGGAAGTTTGGGCGGCCGCATCTCACTGTATGACGTACGAAAGAAAAAGACTCACAAAACTGCAGTTTTTAACTCTGTCTCTCTCACACTCTGCATTCAACCAACGCGTGCGAGTGAGAGGTCCGAGCGCCGAAACGAAACTTAATGTATAATAGTCTCGCTATCGGTTGTCGGTGTGCTGTTCCTTATCGGTGTTACTTATACACAGAAAGGAGTCTCTAGCGAGACTCTTCGATATGTTTGATTTCTACGTATTGTAGTCAACACACGAATCAATTTAATCAATTGATATTTTTTTAAATATCATTAAACTACACTATATTGTATGTTTGAATTTGTATTGCTTAGCAATGTCTTTCGTATGTAATAAACATAGTGAGATATGATTAGATATTTTGCCACCGCAAATAATTTTCATTGTAAAAATATTATGCAAATACTGATTAGTAGTACCTAATTGATTATATATTATTTGTAATGTAAAAAATATAACTTATAAACAAATAATCCATGTTCATATTTATTATTTTAGATTCTGAGCGGAGCGATGAATGTATTGGTTTTACAATGATGTATGTTTTTATATTTTGTTATTTTTATATTTATTTTTTTTTTGTGTCTGTCATCACGTTTTAGGACAGTAAAAGTGCTGGGATTTTCTTCATCAGTAGCTTTTCTGATAGGAAAGTGAATCTAGTTGGTACTTTGGGGGGTCAAAAGTATAAATTTCCCAGTAGTTTTCACAAGCGCCGGGAAAAACAACATAAAAATTAAGGAAAAACGGGAATTTTTACGCAAAATTGGTTTTCCAAAAAATCGATTTTGGTTATTGGTGTAACTCTAAAACAAATGAACGTATATACATGCAATTTTCACTGGTTGTTTATATTTGCATTTTCTATACACGATAACATTTTCAAAATATTTTGGTTTATGGACTGTTTAGGGACATTTTCATTTTCCATTTTTTTTTAGTTTTTTTTCTAAAAATATCAATCAAATTTTATTTGTTGGTTGCAAAAGCTTGAAAATTTAATAGAAGGCTCCTAATATATTGTTTCAAAGGCAGATGAAAAATATTAAAAATCCTTAGTCACAATTTTTTTTTATAAGCATTTAAAGTTCAAAAATTGACAAAATATGGAAAAATCACGAAAATTAGCAAATTATTTTGAGTTAAGAATTCGTAAAAATTTTTCTTTTTAAATCTAAGATTTTAAAATGTAACACAAGATTTCTTATAAGATTATAAACCTTTATCAAAAAAAAAAATGTCTATATGAAAGTCAAATTAAATTTTTATGAGCGTTTGAAACTCAAATTTTTACAACATTGGATATTCACTCGATTTCTTATGTAGCGATTTCCTTATTTTGTTGTAATTCAAAAACGAATAACTTTAGATACATGAAAATTTCACTGAATATTTAAATTAGCATTTTCTATACACCATACAATTTTGAAAATATTTTGACTCTTCTTGAGCTGTTTATGGACATTTAAAGGTTTCAATTTTTTTTAGTTTTTTTTTCTATAAATATCAATAAAGTTTTATCTGTTGGGCCAAAAAGTGTAAAAATTTAATACAAGGCTCCTGATATATTGTTACAATATCAGTTGAAAAATATTAAAAATACATGGGCACGATTTTTTTTTATAAGCATTTAAAGTTGGAATTTTGACAAAATTTATCAAAATCTCGAAAATTATCAATCGTTGGAATTAAAAAATTATAAAATGTTCAGTTTTTATAACTAAGAGTTGAAAATTTAAAACAAAGATTCTCTTAAATAATTCATACTGTAACCAAAAAATCTAAAAAATATATAAACACACTTATTTTTTACAGACATTTTAATTACAAATTTAGACAAAATTACATATTAAAAAACCTAGAATAACTATTTTAGTTATTTTGTTGTGATTGAATAATATTATTCGTGGGTACTTGAAACTTCTAAAGTGTACTATTATTATATCTATGATAGTATCACGGTTTTTGTTGATGTATAACGCGTTATAAGTATCTAATGGATATTGTGTTATGATGAATTTGGAAGTTATTAAAGGTACCAGTGGCGGTTTTCCCGATAAGGCAAGGGAGGCACCGCCTCCCTTGAAAAGTTAAAAAGAAAAAAGAAAAAAGAAATTTTATATTCGATTAAAAAATATTTGTTTTATAATTTTTTTTTTATTTTATATCATCAATGTACAAATATGATTGCATTGTTGAAAAAAAATGTTTAAGACGGATGCCATGCGCCCTTATAATGGCCAATTATATATACTATATTCAATGACGGGAATAGCTTTAAAAATATTAAAAATATTACGTTATTTTCGTACTGTTCTACAACTGTAGAGGCTTGAGGCGGCAACCGATTCTGTCGCCTACTGTACTGTGCTAGTGTGTAAGTGAAATTACACACTCACACACGTAAACAATTATTTAAACTGCGCATGCGCTTTGATAGTTAGGCGGCAATAAATATTTTCGCCTCCTTCCGTGATAAGGATCAACCTCGCGGCTTATCACAATGACACAATCACAAAACTGCTCCATTTCAATTAATATCAAAATAAATCGTATTTCTCTATGTATAAAAGTAAATAATTATGAAAATGTATAGTTACCAATCCTATAATAGTATAATTATTAATATTGTATGTTGTAACTTGTATTAATCATTAGTGGTTACAGATTAGTCCCTATGCAATTATTTTATAAGTTATCAATTATAAGTATAAGTATAATAATTCTAATCCCAACTTCCTATTGTTTCTAGTGTTAGAGTGTTTCTAGTTCTTTTGATTCTTGGTTTTAGACTTTAGTTATTATAATATTAAAATATAATGAAGCCAATATATGACTCAATTGTGTGTTTACTTGGAACTCCGTTCAGTCAATTAATTTCTCGTGATAAAACAGATTTACTTCAGCAAGGTAAACCTACTCCATCGTTATCATGTTTAACTACTGACAAAAAAAGTGGCAAAGTGTTTTCTAGGTCATTTAGTGTAGCTTGGTATAAACAACACTCTTGGCAATATGGTAGTTATTACCTAGAAAAATTATTTTGTTGGCCTTGCTTGGTATTAGGGCATACAAAGTCTGTTTGGTCTACTGAAGGGTATTGGGATTTTAACAATTTGCCTAGAAGTTTACAAAGACATGAATTGTCAAAGGAGCATATTCGCAATCATTTTAACTTAAAAAACTTAGAAAAAAATTCTGTAACTATTGTTGATGCTCTCAGTGAACATGGAAAGTTATTTAAAAAAACATTACGACGAAAATGTGAGACTAAATAGATTATTTATGGAGCACCTTATTGATATAGTTATATTTTTGACTAGTTATATACAATTATATCAATTAGTATACAGATCACAGATTATTTACTTTTGGTCTTATTTCTTGTTAAATAGTGTCAGGGGGTGTGGGGGGGCGAAATTATTTATCGCCTCTTCAGAAAATTATTGCCAAAACCGCCACTGATTGGTACCTATTTTAGGTCAATTTTTTGTTTAATACCATAGATATGTATATAATATGTCTTATACATAGACTGACATACCGTCACCGTTCAGAATCGTTTTTCTTATACAATGATATTATATCATTGAATTCAAATTTAATACCATCCATTATACAGTGACCCACTTGCAACCTACTGTACAGCAGAGCGACACCCACTTGCCCACCTTTTTATTATTATTTTACATTACTACTTACTTATATTAAACCTAAAATTGTAAAAGATTGTGATTGATAGTTGTAAAACCACTTTTAAAAACCAAAAACTATAAGCATGTGCACAACTCATGTGCACAACTTGGTATGCACAGTTCGTTCGCAACCCGACACATAAATACCTGGGAAGTATGGTTGCCTTTAAATCAACTACGTAACCCTTTTATTCAAATCACATTCGGCTTTAACATTTTCTCCTACAATAATACAATATCAGACTATCGACGTTAGAAGGTATGCCCTGTAAACGCACAAATTTGTACCGGTTGAGGACTGAAAGCTAGACACACAATTATCGTTTTCGTTATGCATTTATCCTTTTTGCACGCACAAAAGAACAGGGCATGCGACAGGTCATGTATCCAATCCGCCATACACAGATGCCCTATAACTCATAGATTTTCATACAGCGATGATTGATAGCTAGACATTCGATTACAATTATTCGCAATTCCTAATTTCTTGTACAGTCAACAAAACAGAACCAGGCATACAGCGGGGCACGGTATTACACCAGACGAGGAGAGACCGCTAGACACTCAGTCACAGTTTTCGGATTGCATGCCTCATCGTGTTACCCGACCGTTGCACGTCGTCAGCTATACGACGAAGTCGGATTGCCTACCTGCCAGACTATGCTCAAAATCGAGCCGGGTGATTGACTTCCTAGACACCCAAAAATTGCGGCAGCTATACTACTTAATTTCTTTTTGAATTTCCCGTTTTTTTTACTTAGATCTAGCATGCGACGTGGGTCATGCATCCAATCCGCCATACACACATGCCCTATAACTCATAGATTTGCATAGAGCGATGATTGATGGCTAGACATTCGATTACAATTATTTGCAATTTCTAATTTCTTATACAGTCAACAAATCAGAACCGGGCATACAGCGGGTTACGGTATTACACTAGACGAGCAAAGACCATTCTACACTCCAAGTCAC